TAGACGTATTAGTCGTCTGCAACATTACCACTACGGTTATAAAGTAGAGCATGGATTTATCTAGTGGAGATGTTATTAGTAGAGCAAAATTACGCAATTTGAGTTACATTGGCATTATTACAGTAGGTTTTCCCTTTGTGCTTGTTGACTCCAGGGAAGTGAAGAGTTCAGTTGTGACGTCAGTATATCCAGCATTCAGTAGTAAAAGCGAACTGCAGTCAATGAGCCGCGGCCTGTAGCGCCTCGCTGCTGATGACATGCTCGACTTAGTCTGAAGAGCCCTGAAGCCCAGCTCCTGCTGCTGCAAACAGCGCTGTTCACTTGTTTATTCAAAGTTTATTATTATTGAATGTGTCACGTGAATAAATTGCTCCCAATTTGACAATGCACGTCCTTGGGGCAAAAAATATATCATCCAAACATCTAAACCATGTATGCAGTTGTCTTTTCATTTGGTTATCGTTGTGAGCTATTTGAAGCTCAGTTTGACAAAGTGTATTTTTAATCTTAATAACGAAATCGATGAGGAAAAAAGCATTTACTGCACACAAATAAATCTAAACCTTATGTAAATGTACTGTTTCTTTCTGTGAAGTCTACAAAGTTTCATAGTAGCACATCAAAGGCATCTGGAAAAAGCTAAAACATTAATAACTCATTACATCTACACAATGAAGTTAATAAGATCATCCCAGAAATGACTCTGGAGCGCTGCATGTTTGTCATTCAGGCTGTTTCCTGGTGAGGCATCGATCACATTAAGTGTTTGAACATCAATCTTTGCTTATTTTTAGGGCTGTGAAGCTTTTCTCGCATGACTCACTTTGCTCCATGACGTGCTCTTCTCAGGAAAATTTGATTTTGGAAAAAGTCTGTAGATGGACCGAGCCATTAAGCTCAATTGTTTTCATGAGTTCCAAAACAACACTTCACATAATGTTGATCAGCGTGACTGAAAACAGTGACAGCACTCATTGCTAAGTATTTGTTGGTTTACAGCAGATCTGCAACACAATGACACATTTACAAGCTCACGACACTCAGCTGCGCAGTAAATAATCAGATTCATTATTTTGAGCTGTTTCCATGGTTTAAAGTAAAGTGATTTCCCTGTTTCACAGCTTTACATGAAGTTATTTAAAAGCTGGGGTTAATTATTCAGAGAAAGATGTGACTTTATAACAGTCAATGTGTACAACTGTTCTGATGAAAAAGAATTGCCTAATTCATTAAAACCTAAGCAAATTTAAACATTTATTATTTTGGGTTTTCAAAATAGTTTTGCCACCTGGCCTGTATGAGCAAAGTATTCATACTCCTTTTAGCTCTGTTAGGCTCCGTCGGGAGTAGACCGTGCGTCAGCCCTGAGAGACGGAGACAGACCTTCTGTTAGCAGTCTGGTCCCGGAGGACTGCCCTCGACGCCACACCTAATCAGCAAACCCTCTGATGCTACTGTTACACAGCTTAGAGCCAGCCTTCCACCAGCCCGCAGTGACTCCAGGGTTTTCCACCAGCCGAATCCAAGACACCTCAGCTGCATTTCCCTGCTGTTAGTCAGTATTAGTTAGTTAGTGAAATTGACTTCTCCTTTTTTTAACTGATGACTAAATTTAGATTGTATTGACTCGTGGAGTAGTAGAGAGGAAATGCTGCCCCCTATTTTTTGGGAGCGTCTGGCTAGGGATTACTCAGGGCACCTTTAAGTCAGTGAGTTTATCAAAACAAGTCAAATCCAAAACATAAATGTGACAACTTTTATGTATGCACTCATATGTAATATGATAATATTTTGGCAAGAGCAACGGCTGGCAGTAAAATTGGCACTATCGGCTATTGGCTGTTATTGACATCTGTCTGGCTAAATTTAGACTTTACAAGTAACTGTCACAAGCCATTGCTGTCATGGCAGCAACCAAGCCTTTTTGCATCTTGCCCAACTCCTGTCATTTTAAAGGCTGCATTCCATCTCTGTCCAGCTGTCCTCGAGTGCGATCATCATCTGACCTTCACCCCCGATCCCAGTTCCCTCATCAGCTCCTCAGTATACACACCTTCCCTTCAGCCACACAAGTCATTCCTCATGCTTATGCCCCGTTAGTTGAATGTTCTGACTTCCTGTCTGTTAACAGACCTTTTTTTCTATTCAGTGATCAAGTAAAATAAAAAAAATAAAGACACGAAGATGTTTTATTAATATCACCCTTACTACAAGAAGTTACAACAATAACATCACCCTTTCAGTGACGAATGACTTTACCATAAAAAAAAAAACTTATTATAGATGCACTTGTACACAGACGATTATGAACTTGACACTGTCTAAATCCTGGACATTATTTAAATACACGTATTTACTAGTTAGTCAGTTTCATTGAGTGTTGTGCACAGATAATGTGAATTGTTGGACCTTTTATTGAAGGGCTAAAGAGCCTCATTCATTTCCCTATCATCTTGGAAGCATTTACTTCACACACCAGCACACTGAGCGGGTGCGTGTGTGTGTGTGTGTGTGTGTGTGTGTGTGTGTGTGTGTGTGTGTGTATTTACAGCTGTTTCTGCTTTTTCTATGAGGCCAAGTCACCTTTGTTGTGCGACACTTTGCTGAAAGAGGAAAAAGAAGAAAAGAAGTAGTTGAACAGAGAATAAGTCCAAACACCCTCCTCCCCCTCCTCCTCCTCCTCTCTTGACGAGGCTTTGCTCTGTGTCCATGGAGGGATGGAGCAGTATGGAGGTGGGAGCACTGGGATGCAGGACGGATGGTTGGCTTGTTAAGAAGGCAGAGAGGTATTACTTTAAAAATCTCTCCACCCCCGTCGGAAGTCAGCGGGACAGGCAGCCGACGGCTTTTCCAGAGGATGGGAAACCTGGAGGCTGGAATAACTGCTTATTTGGAGAAGACAGAGCTGTGGCTTAGCTAGGATGCCGGAACCATGAAGGCCTTTATCCATTTCTACAGAACAAATACTCATACATCTCAGATCCTTTAAAGGCCCATATCAGTGAATTCATCAGTCCTTTCTTTGTTCTTTTAATTAGAGCTTTAATGTTGGAAAGTAATTTTATACACTACCCCACTGTCTTATATCTTTATCAGATAGTTCCAGCTGTATGATGGTTACAGGGAATGGATCAAAGCCATAAAAAAGAGATATTCTGGATGAATTCTGCATCATTTATACATGTTTCCCCTAAATGTAACTACATTTTTGGAAACCTGGGTTTTAGATAAAGTTCTACGGTTTGGCTGCTCAACATGAGTTTGTAATGACTGGCCACTTGTGGGTCAGTGAGGTTTCACAGGCTTTCTGAAAGCTATGTGTATATTTTACATTTTACATTTCTACTGACTCACTGTTATATATGATGATGTTATTACACTCCAGGCAGCATGAAAACAGCTTGCAGGGACTAAGCTTGAGTTATGCAATCCATCAGCGTAAGCATTACGTCACTTTTATTGTTTTATGTTATCATAGTAATGCAGTTGCAAACAGAGAATGCAATTACAGTAAAATTCTCCCTGGTGGTGCTTTGAAAAGTTTGTAAGAAGCTCTCAAATCTACAACAACAAATTCACATTATGCTTCAATGGTGTCCATGTTTGTCTTCTGTGTTTGATCTCCTCATCAACTCAACTTTGTTTTTGGACTCTGATATTAGAGTTTCTTTGAATGCACCAATAAATAATAGTTTTAAGACAGCTCCTGCTCAACATTAACAAAAAAAAGCTGGCCCCTTAATAGTCGCTGTGATGGATTATCAATTTCAAACCAGATTTGAGTCTGCAATTCGATTTTCACTGCATACTGAAATGAACTAAAACAACAGCTGTCTGGACGGTAGGAAATCAATCTAAAAACTTATATGCTTTTGGAAAATGTTCAGTTAACTAGCAAAGACCACACCATTTTAGTAAGCAAATTATAGAGAATTGGAATGGAAGATAATGGACGTGGGGTTAAGTGGAGTTGAACACAAGGGGACGGACAGAGGGTCAAATGAGGATTGATGATTGGAACCCAGAGAGTGCTTCATCGTCCCCCCTTGTGGTTTCTGTAATTATAGAGAAGGACAAAAAAGAGAAGGGGCAAAAAAAAGTGGAGGGTGAAGGGGGTTAGATACACCAATACAGGTATGCCAATAACAGTAGAAGGAGGTTTAATTTGTAGCTTTCTATTTCTAGTTCACTGAAAGGAATAACATTTTAGGTTTTAGTGTTCTTCAAATTCTTCTTGGCGACATTGACGGTGGGCTATATGATTGGAGTACAGTGCTATACCGGAGGACACTTGGTGGATGTTTTCAGACATGAAACTTTTAACCTCAGCTGAAGGTCACACTCACTGTACCTCCAAGACAGACGACTCATCGAGGTGATTGTGAAATTCTGTATAGATGAGGTGTTTCAGTTAAGTTTGGATCTTGCTGTCGTTTTTGAGAGGATGTGTGAAAATGTACAAATGGACGGTTTAATAATTCTCTCACATTTCATCAAATGATTTACAAAAGCGTCCTAAATCTGGTAATAACCCAATTTAGTCAATTATAAAAAAACACATTTCTCCAAAAGAAGAAGTGTGTGCTACGAGAGCCCAGCGAGCGTGTTTGTGTGTGAAGTTGTTCTGCGTTGGGACAATTACTCAGCCTCGGGGATGAATGAGGTCTGTGGATTAGGGTTGTTTTTGTGTGTTTATACGGGAGTGGACGGGAAGAGCAAGTGGAGGGGACAGAGAGGAGGAGCAGAGGGACGTGGGCGAGTGATTCTCCAGATGAGATCTAATATGTGAGACAGTGCATCCTAAAGAGACGTTTTCTCATGGGCCCACCCCATGAATACAAATTCACCCTGCCACCCGCTCTGCGTTGAAAGGACAGATGCACCTTGCTTCAACCCGTAGTGGAGAAGTAGAGCTTTTCTTTTTTTTAACCTCGTTTACTTCCAGCCAATCACAAAACTCAACTGAGGTGACTTCATGGCAGCTGTTATGAGTCATCCATTCATACCTTTTTCTTGTAACTGAATCTGTGTGCGCTCTTATTCACTGTCATGGGGCCTCGTGTTGGCCGAAACGTAAAATGGTGCCAATGAAAAGCAGCAGGTGAGTTTGTTCCAGGAGGAATTGTGGAAAATAATCTGTTTGCTTCTGTGTGCTGACCTTGGGGTTATGTGGAAAAGGTTGTATGCATGTGTGTTTGTGTGTGTAAAAGTGTGCGTGCATGTGAGTACATCCTTGTCTGTTTGATTGTGTTTGGTTTGGTTTTAAACCGATCGTGTGTGTGTGAGAATGTCCATTAATGTTTGTAGTCATGCTTGTTTGCTTGTGTGTGTGTGTGTGTGTGTGTGTGAGTGAGTGAGAGAGAGATAACAGCAGTACAGTAAATGTATTGGGGCAGGTCTTAGTGACATCACTATCTAGGAGGATCTTACTGGCCAGGCAAGTCAATTACAGTTAAACTGAGTTTACCAGCTGGGTACTTTGTATAGCGTAGAAAAAAAGCAAAAAGAAGTGTGTGTGTGTATGTGTGTGTGTGTGAGTGTGTGGGGGGGAGAGAGAGAGAGAGGAAAAGGGGAGGAGATACAAAAGGGAGGAACAGAAGGGAGTGCAACGGAGAGAGACATAGTAAGGCGGTTTAGGAAGAGGGAGTTGTTGCCGGTGATACAGTACAGACAGACACAACTCATTTTATTCCTGCAGCTTCCACATGCACAGCGCCGACACCAGTGTGTTTTAAACAACCAGTGCAGGCAACAGAGAAAGGGAGTTGCCCACTTGCAGAGGTCAGGCAGGCAGGCAGAGGGGAAGCCAGTGGATGTTTTTAAGAGTTTGCTTATCTGACACTGACAACAGGATGAGAAGCTGAGCAAGGGAGCAGAGAGGGGACAAAAACATGGAGAGAGCAGCAGTACCTACAGCCCGTTTACATAGGAGACATAGAAGAGACAGACACTGGTTACCTTGAGAGAGGTAAAAAGAAAAGAGACAACACGTAAATAGTCCACTTTGTTCAATCTGTCCAAAGGAGCGGGAGCGAGAGCCGAGGGATCGTAACACTGGAGCTCAAGGATAAACCATGGACTCTGCATACATCCCACTACACCTGGACGTGAGTACTACATCACTTTCACACGCACACACACACACACACACACACACACATACACACACACATCTGTGTGTCTGTCAAGCCACAGGCCACAGGAACTGTGCTGCTGAAACCATTAGTCACTCTGGGGAACAACACACACACACACACTCATGCACATGCATACTCCGCTGGCACAGTGTCGCTCAATCAAAATCTTGTCCGGTGAGCAACTAGTCCAAGAATAATGCTTCCATTATGAGTTCAAAGAGTATAACGTAACTCACCACCGCTGCAACATACACAGTATGAATTGGCCCTCAGTGTTAACGCTCAGCAGCTTTAATGTGAAAAGCAGAGGTGTGTTTTTGTTCTGTATTTCACCACGTCTTAACTGTCAGACACACGATGAGAGCAGTCTCTGAGCTTTCAGCAGTCACGGGTTAGATATGTCAGTGTTTCCATTGATGCTTGTGTTGCGCCTCAGCGGGGGCCTCCTGTTAACCACAATGCACTTGTGACACTGAGACCTCCGGGCATCCCAGGCTGAGACGAAAGAGGAGATACTGAGGAAATAAAAAAAAGCAAGAGGATGAAAGTTGAAAATACATGGCAACCTGTTGATGCTCTGTTCAAGCTCACGCATATGAGACTAAGTCTATGTATGTGGTTCCTGATCAGTCAGTTATGATAAAGAAGACAGGAAACACCGGGTCTACTCCACTGAACCGAACATGTGTGTGTGTTTGTGCTCCACCACAGTTCCATGTCTTGGCGTGTGTTTTCTGCTTACGTGTTAGTGCTCACTCTGCCTGGCACCTAGCATGTGTTTAAACCCTGTATATACTGCTCTTAACATGTGTGTGTGTCTGCATGTGTGTGTTTGACGTCTGGGTCATTAGCCAGCTAATCGGTCCAGCTGGGATGAATTAGAGAGCGTTTTATAAAGTCCAATAAAACCACACAGCAGCCGACCTGGAATATTGTTCGAATGATTTCATCTGTTTTGCCTGAGAACTGTTTTGGGCATTTTTCACCCCGCCCCCATTATACGTATATTGACTCCCCAGCTCAAAGTCATGCATTAATGACTGGTTAAGCATGCGGGGTATTGTGCAGTTATAACCTCACAGTAAATTATACAGACTATGGCGTGCATGCTCAGTTTATATATGCATGGCACAGTTACAAGTGGAAAAAGAGCAGCAGTGAATACAGATGTATCCTCAGAAGTGTTCTCAGGTGTGTACTATACATCACATTTGGTCTCATGAGGCTGTCCAACATGAAATATTTTGGCGTGTTTGAGTGTGCTCAGAAAGAGAAAATCAAACCTGTGGTATAAACGCTGCACGTATCATGTTCTGAAAGAATGAGACGGCAGCATAGCAAAATGAGAGCTAGCAGGGGAGGGGGGGATCAGGGAGAATGAGAGGAGGAATTTGGGAAAAGAAACACGGGAAGAACAACAGGAAGGGAAAGTTGAGGGACCAAGCGTAACATGAAGACAGCGGCGGTGGATAAATCAGCCGGCTGCGGTGACACTCCGGCCCTCTGGCCCGGCAACAGTCTGCCGCACTCTTCCGCAAAAACACCATTCATTTAAGACATAGGGGAAAAAAGAGCAACATTAATGGGAGAGGAAGAAAAGCAGAGACGGAGAAAGGGAGATAGGGAATGGGAAGGTGATGCAGAGAAGCACAAAAACAGATATTGTTAACAAGAAAGAACAAGAGAAATATGGCAGAGAGGGAAATTGATGGATGAATCATATGAGAGGAAGAGGGAAACAGAAAAGAGAAAAGCAGTTAAGTGTTGTATGACAGCATAAAGCAAAAGGACAAAGATCAAGGAATGCAAAATGGAAGGAGGAAGGGGAAAGGGAGCAGGGTTTGAAATGATAAAAAGAGAGGCAGTGAGATAGAAACATGACAAAAGCAGGAGTTAGAAATGGACGTCACAGGGCAGAGGTTTTAATCAGAGAGTTCAGAAAGACACGGGGCAGGCCGGCGACAATTCTCATCCGTTGTGCACCAGGGTCACGCCACTGTCGGCTCGGGAAGTCAGGTCTAATATTTCTAATAAGCTGAGCTGCATGCATGCATACACAGAGAGACGATGCACACACAGAGACCCTAAGCCTTCATCTCACCTTATCATGGACCCATTAATCAATCAGCTGTCCTCCTTTATCCCCAGGAACATTTGATTAGTCCACATTCCTGCCAGAGAGAAAAAGAATAAAAAGTGAACAGCGAGGCAGGGATAGTCAGATATGAAAGCAGGAACTGGGGGAATGTTATCATAAAAACGTCAGCTTTTACGGCTAACTGGAATGAGACGGCATCAGGATGTACACAACACATAAAGATGCTAAATTAAGACTGGATCATACAGTTTGAACTGGACAGAACCAGTCATAACACAGACACTCAGGGAGAACAGAGAGGCTGTATGTATGTCAAAGCGATGTAGGGCAAGCTTGTCTCCGCTCGCAAACCTCTTCCTCGCCTTTCCGTGTTTCTCTGCCGAGCGCAGGTCGTGACACACCCTGTTGTGTGACGACTGAACCTTTGAACCTCAGAGTCACCTGGGTGGTTTTGTACTTTGTGAGGAAAGTACAGGAGAGAGAGATGGTGTTGTTGTCCTTAATCTGCTTTACAAGCCTCCAAAGAGTATGGGAGAGGCTGTCCAGCATGGTGTCTAATCTGTAATTGTCCTCTGCGTCGTTGCCTCAGGTGAAACAGCCCTGGGTGGGGCTGCGAGAGTTTAATGGATAGCCAGCAACAATCCCACGCTTGGAGGTGGCTTACTTTCCCAGGCCTGCCCTTTGAACCACGTACCACATGAGCAACACACAATGCATAAAAAATGTACACACCTTCACACCTCTGAACTCCTTTTAACCCTTTCCATGACAGTGTGGTGAGATTAGTGGTCATTACAGTGTCATTATGTGTTCGCTCAGCCATAAATGCCTCTGTTATCTCGCTGTAGAGGGCTTAATCAATTCTCTGTCCCTTAGAGAGGGACGAGGGATGAGATGTGGAGATAGAGAAGAAAGATATGTGAGAGCTTGGACAAGGAAAGAGATAACTACAAGCTGAGAGTTCTTCTTTTAGTAAGTGATAGATATAATTTATACTTCAGTCAACCACGGCGACAATGGGTTCCTGATTCACTTCTCTTATACTTCTATTTTGTCGCACTTATGTTCGTTTTTAGTTGAGATTGTCTTGTCTCCTCCTCCTTTGCTCTGACCCTTTTACTCCTCAGCCCGACCTCTTCAGGTCAAGAGGGCCGTTAAACTTGTTGGTTTCTAATTACTGGCTCGGTTATTATTAACACCTGCGCTACAGATGTGCAGGGTGTTAGCCAGGTCGTAGTGGTAATTACATGATCCCCTGTCTGTGGTCCGGTTCCCGCACTGAGAATAGTCATGGAGGGAGAAATAAGCTGATCACTTGAGTTGAGTCAGCTGAAAGAGGATTTACTCTCTCAACACAGTCAAGTTTAGCTTAAAGGAGCGCTGTTGTGCCATCTGTGGGGTTTTGGTCAGAATTCTGCTTCAGTAATCAAGAATAGCAAGTGAATGATGCAGGTGTCGCTGTGGGAATTCATAACACTACCGTTGGGGAAAGCTCAAAAGACACTTCCGCATATGTGCAAATAATACTCTCCTTGGAAGAACCCGTAAAAGTAATTTTTTTTTGGGTAACCATTAGAATTTCAAGAGCGCAAATCATGCAAACCACAAACATTGTATATTTGAGCTTTTTTTTTTAATTGATTCAAAATTGAAAAATTTAAGTGCAATTAGCAATGAGTGCTTGAATGTAATACTTTTGAACATAGTTGAACAAAACTAAACAAAAGCACCCAAATTCAAATTGCAGGATTTAAAACAGGTATTCAAAGACCAATATTAGACAACAACTGCATCTGAATATGATATGATATTTTTGGAGTCATTGGGCAAAGATTCCATAACATTTCTGCATTTTGTATAAGTCTGCAGTTTTCTGAAAAGAAAATCCCAGAATTGGAAAATACAACCCTCCTCTCTCCCCTTTATGTCCTAAGCCCCTCCCACCAGACGAGCATGCAATTCATACAATAACCATTCATTTCAAACTTCCTCCTGATCGCTTTATACAGTAACCTGTACAAGTACTAATGGTTCATTTCAAACATCATTCTTTATACAGTAACCAAGTACTAGTCGTTCATTTCATACATCATCCCAATCGCGATGCCCTTAGAGCAGCAATTGACCATGAGAAGTACTGTCCTGTTTTCTTTGCAAACATGTGGGCCTGTAAGGAACTTAGAGATGACATACGTGATTTGAGGCTCTAGATAGCTATAATATCGACAAAGTGTTCAGTTATTACCAATAATAGTTATTACCAATGGAGGAAAAACAAATTTTACTGCAACTTTTTCTCCAGGGTATTTTGCCATTGAATCAGGCTCTCACCGAAGTGACGTGCATGTGCATCTGTATTTGTGGAGCAGTCAATAGGAACACCCTGTCTCTGTGATCACGGACTAGATCTTCTTGAATCAAAATATGCTAAAAGGTTCATATGGATTACTGCCTACCTCAACTTTACGAAAAGCTTTCAATCTTCTTCACTCATGCAGACATCATTATAGAAAGCTACCGAATGTTTGAATTATTATTCTCCAGTGATTTGAAAATGAAGGGAGAAGAAAATATCCGTCAGTGAGTGGCCTCAACAACTCCATTACACTTCACTAAAGTCTAAATTTCTTGAACATATGCCACATGAAGGCTGAAGACTGATGAGAAACTAGTGTGTCCAGGAAGGGGAAGACATAAGCATGATATACAGAGTCCTGGAGGATCTATCTCTTTTTCAAATTTCATATTTGTAAATACAAAAATTCTAAGCACCTAAATTTAAAGAGGATCAGAAACGTTGCATAACCTGCCTTCATAAGTTTGTCTGTTGATTTTGAAGATTGCTCCTCTTTTATCTTTTGTTAACTACTTCCTCTCTTGTTTTCTCCATCACACCTGTCCTTCCATCATTTATCCTCACCTTCCTGTCTCCCTCCAGGTCCACCATGTTCCCTGCTAACCTCCTGCTCCTCATGGTCCTGCTGCTACCTCAAGCCTCGTCTGGTCGCCAGGGTGGAGACACCAGCAAGATCGACCATGGCAGGGTGTCCCCCGTGCCTTCCTCCTTGTCGCCCCCACCAGCTGGTTCCCTCCTCCTGGAGCCCAGTCTGGCTCGGACCATCCAGAATCTCCTCCTGAGCCGGCTGGGCCTGCAGTCGCAGCCCGACCCTCGGCCTGGAGTGCCGGTGCCTGGGTACCTCCTTAATCTTTACCGCTTCCACCAGCAGCAGTACCATCTAGTGGAGGACCCCTCGTTTATCTTCCCCAGCCAGCACATCCAGCAGGCCAACACCGTACGCAGCTTTCACCACAACGGTAAGCTCTCTGGTATATCATGATGCTATGCTGTCAACCTATTTAACTGCAATAAAATAAAAGTATTTGAAACGTTATTGTTTGGCCTTTGAACATTTGTTTCAAGGAAGCTGTTCCTTCTTTATTAACCACAGATGAACTATATAGATCCTATTTATGACAGATGTTTGTTGTGACTCACCAAGTACCAAGCATCTGTGCGCTCTTAGATAAGATGGGTTGTTTACAATCCTGAAGTCTTCTTTAAAAACATGTGCGAGAGCATACTTAGAAACACTGAGGGGAAGTTTGTTCTGGACTTTGCTCTGCAGTTCTGATCATGGCTGGATTAACCTGTTAGGGAGTCCGAGGGCAAACAATTGCTGTTGGGCCCCCGCCGACCCCCCACCTATTGCCCTGCCAGTCACCTCCAAGTTCACACATATTTTTTTCTGGTTTAATTTGTTTAAAAACAACTTTATTAGGAATATGCACGTGGCGATGCTAACACGATGAAGCTCGTAAAAGTAGATTATGACACAGGATCCCTGCGGTAGATTTTGAATCACCCAGTGCATGTTGGTGTAGGAATGTTTGACTGCTTAAGAGCCTCAAATAAAAGTTATTGGCAAGAAAATGCTATGCTTGTAGTGGTTTGATTCCCTCAATATCTTCTGACGAAAGGTAAAAATTGGAGCTTACAGTGTCAATGTGAGCTATTCACCGTAGTAACATAACTTATTTGCTAATATTAGTAGATAATTTGGCAATTTTGCTATTGAAATTATTCAAGAAATATCTGGAAAATGACAAATGACAAATCTGACTAAAGTAGGCACTGCTGTTTGTGTCTTGTTGAGTGTAAATAACACCTTTAAACCACACTAAACTCCCATACGCCCTTGTCTCTCTTCCTCTTTCTCTTAGAGCCCCTTGGAGACAGCCCTTTAGCAGTGGATCGTAAGAGGGTGCACATCTCCTTCAATGTTTCCTCCATCCCTCAAGATGAGAGGGTGCTCTCCGCTGAGCTTCGGCTCCTCCGCAGTGACAGAGCCTCACTGGGTCCTGGGGTCCACAGACTAAACCTATACCTCACTGAGCACCATGAGGACCCTGAGCCCACCCTGCTGGAGACAAGGTTACTCACCACCGGCCTCCACAGCCATAAAGCAAGTGGTTTCTGGGAGGCTTTTAGCCTAAATGCAGAGCTCCTCCATAAGGCCCTTGCTGGGACTGGTAGTCTGGGCTTCTTCCTGGAGGTCAGAATTGAGAACAGCACCACATTGATCCCTGAACAGAGCCTCTTCCCTGCCGCAGCTGAGGAGGAGGCAGAGAAACACAAAAAAGGACACATGAGAGTATGCAGGTCTGTGGGTCAGGACGAGCATAGCTGGGCCCAGGAGAGACCCCTCTTGGTGGCTTATAGTCATGACGGTCGTGGAGAGCCCTTGGTCAAACATGGCAGGAGGACCCCTAATGGAGGCCAGAGGATGAGAGGGAGAAAGGGGACAAAAGACAGGACCAGGAGCAGCAGCAAGGGCCGCAATAGAGACCAAGCCTCGGGCAGGGACAAAAAAACGGTGTATACGGTGCCGGGCTGGGGGGCTGTTAAAGGAGGGGTCGGTTGGAGCGATGGGGGAAGGGTGAAAAGAAATGGTGGTCGTGCTGCAAAACTGAAGCGCCTTTCTCGTAACAGATGTCGCCGCCATCCTCTATATGTAGATTTCAACGATGTGGGCTGGCACAAGTGGATCATTGCACCCAGCGGCTACGACGCCTTCTTCTGCCTGGGAGAGTGTCGCTTTCCTCTGGCCGACCACATGAACTCCTCTAGCCACGCCATGGTGCAAACTCTGGTAAACTCTGTGAATGGAGCAGTGCCTCGGGCCTGCTGCGTCCCCACCTCCCTCAGCCCCATCGCCCTGCTCTACCTGGACCCTCAAGACCGAGTGGTGCTGAAGAATTACCAGGACATGGTGGTGGAAGGCTGCGGCTGCCGGTAGTGGACTGGAGAACTCACCCAGAGAAAGCCAGACGTGGATGGAGCAACAACGAGGGAATAGGAGAAAGACAGAAGCTTGAAAAAGGCAGATGGTGGGAAGAAGAGACGCCAGCTAACTGCAAGCAGACATGGAGACTGATAGAGACAAATGTAACAGCGCAAGAAGGGTGAGGGGAGAGGAGGGAGATAAGGGAATGGATATAGCAGCTAAATATGAATTATGAGGAGCAAGACAAATAGTCAGACATAGAATGAGAAAGACAAAGAGTGAACAGACATAATCTACCACACAACAGGATAAATGATTCGACAATAAGGCAGAGGAAGCAGAAATATGGTCAACACAGATATACTGCCAGGAATTACTTTTCACGTTTTACCATTTAGCAATGATGCAGCTGTTTACACCATCAACCGACAGGCTACTTGTTCTCTCGCGAGAAGCCAGCGCTTAAATATCAGATGGCGTCTATTCTATATCCCAGTGTTTGCCAATCATCTCATACGACTGTCTCACAGGCACATGTGTTTTAGCAGTGGACACACAAATTAAGCTCTGGAGCAGAATCCTGTAACTTCCTCATTGACTTCCTGATGATCCGATGATCGACAGCATTAGCAATATGACGATGGCACTAGTACGGCTTCTAAACTTTGTGTGACAGTGATGTTTCTGCAGTATTTGAACCAAGAAGTAGGGTGCATCTGTAATAAGAATGTTCATATAATGACAGACTGTCCCCTTACAAGCGCCCCTACGTCACAAGCTATTTAAAACCACAACAATAATGCTGAGGAACTATTATGCTATTGTTTGAATGTACTACTATCACTATTATTTAAAAAAGAGATTTTTTTATGTACATTTATTTTGCAGACATGAAGAAAATCCAAGTGATGGTTGTCTTGTGATTTTACATAATTCCACTGAATGGCGATTCTAACTTAAAAGACACATTATGTATTTAAGTAGCAGCAATATGGTGTATTTAATCTTGAAAATATTTAAGATACCTGCACTCAGCAGAGCATACAGCAAATGAAATAAGAAAGCCTGCCATCCACATGAAGTAATTTATGGTAGCTTTACATCAGTACAAATGTTCAGTGTATTGACTCAAGTCTGTGTTACTTAATCGTCCCACCTTTCACACATTTTGGTGTCCTACACATGACAGCAGACATAAGTGGTGTTGCCTTTAAAAGCTCAACTAACAAGTCAATTGAAAGCTCTTTGTATTGTAGCTACTGAAGTGTGTAACAACAGGTGTCTTTGCTAGTTGTGTCTGCATGTGTCAAGAAAAAAAAAAAGCAGGACCGACATTAAAACTGGGACTTTAGTGCCTTTCAAACAGGGGCTTTAAAAGTGTTCTCTGCTGAGCTTAGTAAATGTTTTTCCGTGTTGCATTTTTCTCTCTAATGTTAAGCAACAGCTTGTAAAATGTTTGACAATATACCTCTAATAAACAAAGCAAACAGCACAACTGTCACATGACTTTTCTTTTGCATCAATCATTTTCTCCTTTTTGCAAGTTTTGTTTTCTTTTTGTGGGGCCCGAGAGCATGAAAACGCTTTTCATATCATTTTCTTTCTTCAGCCTACAATGGAATTATTGCCATGTTCAGGAAGAAAAAAGGATGCCAGAAGTCCCACAGAGAGATTGAAACAGATTTGTGTATATGATACTGTAGCTAAGGAAGCAGCTTCAAATTCTCACATCGAAACAGCTGTGAGGTTTAAATTCAAGGGGAAATGTCTTATCTCCACTGCGCATCCTTGCTGTGAGCCGTTGTATCACTTGACACTACTACCCGGGAACAGTGCGGACGTGTGTCTGATCCCGGATATCACACGCGGAGGCGAAAAGAATGTAGATGAAGGAAATAAGATGCAGGAGCATAAAGTTACTTTCCACACTTGGCTGCAGGGGATTCATTAACGCAGGGGTCAAACTAACTCAACTGCATCTTTGACCTCCACATTCCTGCGTGTTCTCAGAAGAGGGCCCTGCCCTCCGCAGCCACCACCAGATGGGCTCACTGCTCACTGCAGCTCACAGGTGTGTTAAGCCTACAACCTGTGAGGGGAAGGGTGTGATATGGTTCGATAGAGAGCAGAAAGAATTGTTCTATGTAACCCATTAACGTCCGACAAGCAGGGACAGTAGCTGGGATACTACAGACTCACCTGATATCCTCTTCTTCTCTTTACTTTTGCTATATTACTACTTTGCAGGAATATATCATTCTTTACCCAGGATTCACTGCTTTAATTCAATGTTTGATTTTAAACGCAGAACTGTTATTATACAAATATAAAATACGGTTTATTCTAACCTTATAATGTTGTCTTTCATTTCATATGATTCATACAATGATGTGGCGGTAGATCAACACATCCTCTTAATTAAAGGCGCATTACCTTGTAGGTGGTTGTAACACCATGGACAAATGTCTGCACCTTTGATTGTGCTCCGTACTCTGATTTGGGGATGGAGGCCTCCATATCAACACTTGTCAGGAGTATACTGGTGTGTGTGTGTGTGTGTGTGTGTGTGTGTGTGTGTGCGTGCGTGCGTGCGTGCGTGCGTGCGTGCGTGCGTGCGTGAAGAGAAAAACAGAGCACAGAGAAGAAAGTGTAGAGGCAGAAAATAGACACATCATGTCATATGATATCAGGTTCACAGATGGTTTGTGCCTCTGCTCTTGTAGATAACTATTTGGGTTAGAGCCAGTATATTTCATCTCATAGGCTGTAACACATCATGGTTCACTTAGTGGTTGACTGATAACCTCTGGCCTTTTTCCTCCATGACCCCCTACTCACTTTTTCACCTACAATCCATTCCTTATTCTACCTTTCCTGACTCATCTATCTCTCTCAGCCTTCAGCTTCCCCTTTGCAAATCACAGGTTCTTCAACCGCGTTTTTATCTCAGCCTATTTGTCAATCGTCGGCCCATCTTGACACAGTGTTTGCCTCTAAACCTTTTTCCTCTTTTAACCTGACCTATCGACTCATTCTTCTCTCAGCGTCTAGATCAGAAACAGGTGTTTAACGGTCCATTTGTCCCTCATGATGAAGGGAGTGGAGTGAGTATTGATAAGTCCTGACTGTTAGTTCAATGTGCTGCTGATTGGATTGCAAAAAAAATTGTGAAATGTCCCTCTTCTGGCACCTTACATTACAATAGCATTTTGGGCAATCTATTGGCAGAAATTGAATATAATATTGTTTTTTGTTTTTTTTTGTGTATTTCATTGCCTTAGAATAAGCTGTTTATGTCTACATAAGGGGATGGTCCTCTTCACAGAGCCTGCTAGCATGTTTCTACAGTAGCCCAGAACAGACAAGACCAAGGACATTTGAGTTTTTGTGATTTTGTGTTGGCCACCGTAGTTCTCCTCCACGCTTGGCACACGGGAGAAGTTTCAGTTGGTTGCAACCTGCAACCTCACCACTAGATGCCACCAGATCCTACACACTAGACCTTTAAAGGAATAATTATAGTTTGCTATAACATGGCTGTCATATGTGTTCAGCAAATATGGGGCATCGTTCAAAGCCAGTGTGATTGTCTGACTTGTGTTCCTTGATTGTTATTGCGATATTATTAATGACAGAAGTTGTCACTGCCCTCCTGCTTTGGTAGAGCCTGCTGTGAACTTTGAGGAAGTTTGTCCAAGATGATGCTCAAGATACATTTTGCAGTTCTAGTTCATCACACTTTGACCTCTCCCTTCATCCAAGCTCGCTGCCTTGATCTCACCTTAACCTTTGAAACATGTTTTCTCTCTCTCGTCTCCTTCCTCTCACAGGTGCTCTGCTTATGAATTCTTAAGGGTGAGGTTGTGGAGCACAAAGACAGGATATGACCAGGCTTATCTTGTCAGATGTGGAGGCTGTTTGAGGCTGGGTAGCAGCAGTCTTGATCCAGTCAGCCCAGAGGAACACCTTCCCTCAGTCCATTAATCATTCAGGGATCTACGGAGGAGCAATATTGCAAGTGACAGTGCTGCTCGGACACATGGCTGTGCCTCTTTGTTTGGATTTATCTGTGATGAATGCCAGTTAAGCACCAAGGAGTGGGCATGGTCTATCCGGGGTTTTTAGATAATTACAACCAGAGTTCACAAAAATGGTTCAGCCGCAGCCAGGATTTTAAACAGTACTGATGTCCATAGAGCCTCCTCTTAAAGAACATTTTGACATACCAAAGAAAGTTTCCCCACTCAATCTTACTCAACATAAAAACTAGTTCATGTTACGTTGATGATCATATGAATTACGGCCAGTTTGGCATGACAGAGGGTGCTAAATGCTACCATTCCCATGAGGCTCGAACAATGATGTCATGGAGATTAAGGTGGTCTAAGGCACATATCGAGGCTATAGCAAATTTACAACACTTTATCTTGAATATGGACAAAACACTTCGCCACAGTTGCAGAATTCATCCAAAATTGGCCCATAATTTGGGCTGGTTTTCTCATCAGTATTATCTTTATCTTTCTGTGAATATAACAGAATCTTGAGCTTTGTGGTTGGATTTTTCCTCCATGCATGCTCTTTCTGAGTTGTAGCAACTTCTATATACCGATTTGACAATTTAAATCCCAGAAATCATGCTTTAAAAAACTAAAATGTGTGTATGATTGTATAATACAATTTCCTCCCCAGGTTGTTAAAAACTTAAAAATCCCAGAAGAAACACTGAGAAGATGACTTTAATATGGACCAGGGTCCAGCTCTCCATGTCAAGATTTTGAAATGCGTCAGCAAACAGTGCTGCAGTTGACCTTTGGTGTACGTCCTAGTTTTTAGTATCATCATAACATAACATATATATATATACCAGCAACAACGGCTCAACAGACTGATGTCATGCTTGGGGATTGCCTCCTGGTTCCTGGAGTGTTGACAGAGTTCATCAGGACTGGCCTGCCAGTCTTCCCACCCACACTGACAGACCTGACCACAGACAGAGGCAGCCTTGTGTGTCCCTAGTGTCCCCTGCAGACTGACAGCCTGCTCCACGGAAACTACAGTACCTCCCACCTCCCTGTTAGACAGCTGGGTCAACTGTGCAGCCCACCCACTGCACATAACATTTAATGATACCTGTCTAAAGCACCTTTTGGATTACTTATTTTTTTATTTCAATATGATGATTTAATAAAACTATGAATTTGAACATTGTGTACACACAAGAATACACTAGTATATGTAGACAGAATGGCTTGGGTATTTGGAAACCCTTTGTTCCAAAACATTTTCTATCTACTGTATTTCTGAGAGGGTATGCGTTATTTGTGAAAGTTTGTGGGTTGGCCAAAAGGCGCAGCTACAAACAGTGTTTGCCTGCAGGTTTTTTAAACTGTGATGATAAATAAAAGCCAAGATGACAGTGATATACCAGCAGCAGAAGTACCAGGGCATCACTTATACTGCGGGGTCACAGACCCATAATGACTGCAAAATATTCCCTTTTGGACATCAGAAACAGTTTTCAATCATGCTAACCCCTTAAGTACACTAAATTGCAGTTTGATACATATAGTGTGTCACACAATAAAATGGCAGTGCCCCAAATCACTATAGCAGATGTGGATGTATCTACCAGTTGTGTGCTGCTGCTTCTGCTGCTGCAGCTGCCGAGTTGGTGGTTTTAGTCTAGAACACACAAAACAGATAGCGAGGGTTTTGGGTTTAGCCTCCGAGCTTCAAAGAAAGACTCATGCTGAAACTGAACGAGCAAAACTGGACCTCTGGGTCGCAGAGTGGAGCAGGTGCAACGCGTTGAAACGCCGGGAAGGTCGACAGGAAGCTGTCATGTCACGAGGCAGAACCCTGACCCCTGCAGTCTGTCGCTCCAAGTGCACATCTCTTTTTCTCCGACTCATATGTGAATGTGTGTTTGATGTAACCGTGCAGAGGTTGCATAACGAACAGCTGTTGTCCTAAATTCATCCTTGTCAGTTGTGTCTCCCTAAATGTTCCAGATAGCATCTTTATCACAAGTGACACCAGTCTGTGCCCCATGCACCTCTGCTCTTTTTCCTCCTCCTCTGTCGTCTGTCCATCTCTTCATTTATGTTTTCATCTCATCTCTGTCTCCCCTTACAGCTCAACGATGAAAAATTATGTTTTTACAGGTGTCTCACAATGCGGATGCTCTCCCTGCTTGAATGGGAATTGCATTCACTCCTTTCTGCTATTCCTACTTTCTCTCACCGCCTCTGATTTGCTCTTGACACTCAAGGTATGCGTTCAGGAACAACTGGAGTTGAGAAGAGGGAGGGAATGTTCATAAGTTCAGTTTTAATTGGCCCTGTGCTGAGGATGGAGGCAGAGATTTGGAATCTGCAGAGTCCCCCATAACATTTAGCTGTTATTTCTCCACTGGAACAGCCAACAAAAAAGTTTGGATTCATTACAGCTTGGGTCCCAAAAGCGTACTCACCAAAATAATTACTGAGA